ATTTATGAATTGTTCCCATTCCCCGGGATACTCTGATGCTTTCTAACAACCATTGTACATCAGCATGGATAATAGTATAGAACTTGCTTTACAATTCTAGTAACATATGTTTACATAATTTTAATCATATATACTGGATGTGCAGCATTTACTGATATGATTTTTTGTGGTTCAAAACTGGAGATAATAGGATGATTGGAAAAGTATTTTCTTGTTTTTTTTCTAGGCACTACATGGAGAAAAATTGTTATGTTTAACAATATATCAAATTGTTGGGACTGGGATAGAGGCTCAGTGGTAGAGCACTTGCTTAGCACATACGGGGTGCTGGATTTCATCCTCACAACCTCATAAAAATAAAATAAAGGTATTGTGTCCAACTAAATGAAAAACCAAAAATATTTTTAAAAATTGTATATTAAATGCATACATCAGGAAACAGTCAAAGATTTTTCTGTTTCTAGTACAGAAATTCACTTTTAAAAAACAATTTTCCACTGATTTTAAGGAAATGAACAAACAAACCCATGAATTTCTAAATATGATTGCAAACACATGGAATGGGACACTCCTGATTTTCATTACTCTTCTTTGCATAACTGCAGATATTTGATCACACTGAACTTAATGTCATCCAAAGGTATTGAGACACCGGTGATTAAAATATTTCATTCAATGAATGTTATATTACTTGGTTTTTATAAGGATCAAATGTCTGAAATGAATTAAAGCAGGTCCTCTATGCTACAGAAATGATGTGATAGAATGCATTTTTTTTTTGTTTTGTTTCATAATACATTTTTTGTTGTTTTTGAAAAAAGACAATTTAAAAACATTTTTTTTTGTATTTTTTTAAGGGATTAAATCCAGGGCTAGAATTAAAAACTGAGAAACATACCCAACTATTTTTTATTTTTATTTTTTATTTTGAGGCAGGTTCTCACAAATTTGCTTAGAACTATGCTACATTACTGAGACTGGGTTTAACTGGTGATCCTACTGTCTCAGACTCCTGTGCCTGGCCTAGAACAATTTTTAGAAGTTATATATCACATATTATTATGGATCCATTTAAACTTATACTATAAAGTGCCCATAGATACTTGACTTATTTAAAACAAATTTGTAAGAATGGGCAAATGCCATTTATATGTACATAGATGTCACAAAATAAGACAGCTCTATTCTAGTGATCCAATATGACCCATGAAAGCTGGGACACATATAGATATTAGATTCACAACTTTCTTTTTTCTGGACTTATCATGGGAG